CCAGGGTGAATCTTCCTCAAGCAAAACGAGGATGATTGGCAACAGATGTTAGCTCAGGGCGAATCTTCATCAGCAACAAACAAACAAATAAAAAATGGGCAGACGATATGAACACACATTTTTCCCAAGAAGATACACAGATGTCCAACAGGCACATGAAAAGATGTTCAACATCACTAATTATTAGGGAAATGCAAATCAAAACTACAATGAGATATCACCTCACACCTGTCAGAATGGCTATAATTAACAAGTCAAGAAATAACAAGTGTTGGAGAGGATGTGGAGAAAAGGGAACCCTCATACACTGCTGATGGGAATGCAAACTGGTGCAGCCTCTACGGAAAACAGTATGGAAATTTCTCAAAAAATTAAAAATAGAAATACCATATGAGGGCCGGCCCTGTGGCTTAGCGGTTAAGTGCGCGCACTCTGCTGCTGGCGGCCTGGGTTCGGATCCCGGGCGTGCACCGACACACCGCTTCTCTGGCCAAGCTGAGGCCGTGTCCCACATACAGCAACTAGAAGGATGTGCAGCTATGACATACAACTATCTACTGGGGCTTTGGGGGAAAAAAATAAATAAATAAAAATTAAAAAAAAAAAAAAGAAATACCATATGATCCAGCTATCCCATTACTGGGTATTTATCCAAAGAACAAGAAATCAATAATTCAAAAATATATATGTACCCCTATGTTCATCACAGCATCATTCACAATAGCCAAGATGTAGAAGCAACCCAAGTGCCCAACAACGGATGAATGGATAAAGAAAATGTGGTATATATACACAATGGAATACTACTAAGCCATAAAAAGACAAAATCATGCCATTTGTGACCACATGGATGACCTTGAAGGTATTATGCTAAGCAAACTAAGTCAGAGAAAGACAAATACTGTATGATTTCACTCATATGCGGAAGATAAACAAACAAACAAACAAATACGTAGATAAGGAGAACAGACTGGTGGTTACCAGAGGGGAAGAGGGTGGGGAGAGGGCAAAACAGGTAAAGGGGCACATATGTATGGTGACAGATAAAAACTAGACGATTGGTGGTGAACACAATGCAGTCTACACAGAAACTGAAATATAATAATGTACACCTGAAGTTTACACAATGTCATAAGCCAATATAACCTCGCTCAAATAATTAAAAAAAAAAGAAAATGATTCCACTTATAATAGCATGAAAAAGAATGAAATTCTTCAGAATAAATTTATCTAAAGAAGTACAAAACTTAGAAAACTACAAAACGTTATTGAAAATAATTAAAGAATATCTAAATAAATGGAAAAACATCCCATGCTCATGTACTGGAAGACTTATTATTGTTAAGATGGCAATACTTCCCAAGTTGATCTACGGATTCAACACAATCAGAATCCTAGCTGACTTCTTTGTAGAAATTGATAAGCTGATCCTAAGATTCATATAGAATTGTAAGAAACCCATAATAGCCAAAACAATCTAGAAAAAGAACAAAGTAGAACTCACTTCTTGATTTCAAAACTTACTACAAAGCAATGGTATTCAAGATAGTGTGATACTGGCATAAAGGCAGACATATAGATCAATGGAATAGAATTGAGTCTAGAAATAAAGCCATGTGCCTATGGTCAACAGATTTCCAACAAGGGTGCCGAGACCATTCCATGGGGAGAGAATAGTGTTTTCAACAAATGGTGCTGGGACAACTGGATGTCCACATTTAAAAGAATGAAGTTGGACCTTAACCTCACACCATATGCAAAAATCAACCCAAAATGGATCAAAGATCTAAATGTAAGAGCTAAAACTATAGAACTCGCAGAAGAAAACATGGAGGCAAATCTTCCTGACCTTGAATTTGGCAATGGATTCTTAGATATGACACTAAAAGCTTGAGCAACAACAGAAAAAATAGATAAATTGGACTTCATCAAAATCAGAAACATTTGTACTTCAATGACACTATCAAGAAAGTGAAAGGCAACCCACAGAATGTGATAAAATATTTGCAAATCATATATCTGACAAGAGAACTGTATCTACAATATAAAAAGAACTCTTACAACTCTATAGCAGAAGACAAATAGTCCAATTAAAAAATGGGCAAAGGATCTGAATAGATATTTCTCCAAGGAAGATATACAAATGGCCAAAAAGCACATAAAAAGATGCTCAATGTCATTAGTCATCAGGGAAATGCAAATCAAAACCACACTGAGATACCACTTCACAACCACTAGCATGATGACTAGAATTAAAAAGTCAGTAACAAGTGTTGTTGAGTATGTGGAGAAATTGCAACCCTCATTGCTGGTGGGAATGTAAAATGGTGGGAATGTAAAATGGTGCAGCCACTTTTGAAAATAGTTTGCAGTTCCTCATTCAATTAAACATGCAGTTACCATAAGACTCAGCAATTCTACTCCTAAGTATATACTCAAGAGAAATGAAAACACGTCCCCAGAAAAACTTGTACACAAATGTTTACAGCAGCATTACTCATAATAACCAAAAAGTAGAAAAAACCTAAATGGCCATTCACCGACGAATGGATAAAGAAAATGTGGTATATCCATACAATGGAATATTATTCAGCCATAAAAAGGAATGAAGTACTGATACATGCTACAACATGGATGGGCCTTGAAAACATTATACTAAGTGAAAGAAGAAGTCACAAAAGACCACATAGTGTATGATTCCATTTATATGAAGTGTCCAGAATAGGCAAATCTAAAGAGACAGAAAGCAGATTAGTAGTTGTTTAGGGCTGAGGTAGATGGGAATATAGGATAGTGATAGCCTAAGTGTACAGGGTTTCTTTCTTTTTTTTTTTTTTGTGAGGAGGACCAGCCCTGAGCTAACATCCATGCCAATCCTCCTTTTTTGCTGAGGAAGACTGGCCCTGGGCTAACATCTGTTCCCATCTTCCTCCACTTTATATGGGACCCCTCCACAGCATGGCCTGACAAGCGGTGCATTGGTGCGCGCCCGGGATCTGAACCCGCCAACCCCGGGCCGCCGCAGCGGAGTGCACTTAACTGCTTGCGCCACTGGGCTGGCCCCTGTACAGGGTTTCTTTTTCTTTTCTTTTTTTTTTTTTTTTGTGAGGAAGATCAGCCCTGTGCTAACATCTGCCAATCCTCCTCCTTTTTTGCTGAGGAAGACTGGCCCTGGGCTAACATCCGTGCCTCCTCTTTCTCCGCTTTATATGGGATGCCGCCACAGCATGGCTTGCCAAGCGGTGCATTGGTGCACCCCCGGGATCCGAACCGGCGAACGCGGGGCCACCACAGCGGAATGCGCGCACTTAACCACTTTCGCCACCAGGCCGGCCCCCCAGGGTTTCTTTTTGATGTGATGAAAATGTTTTAAAATTGACTGCAGTGTTGGTTGCACATACCTGTGAATATACTAAAAACTATGAAGTTGCACATTTTAAATGGGTGAATTGTATGGGCTGTGGATTATACGTCAATAAAGCTACTTTTAAAAAATAAAAAAAGGTAATCAACACAGTGACATAGGACTAGATAACCCAGCTTGCTCTCTAGAGCTCCTAGACCCTGAGGGTTGCATCCTCAGAGGCCTTTCCATGCCCCCTGGGATGTGAGTATTTTTACTGTGATTCTCATTTCACATGTGAGAAAACATATTCAGAGAAGCAAATTTCATGTATTCATCCAACAAACAATGCTCGAGGCCAAGGAGGTGGCCTTGTCTAAGGGCCCACAATGAAGAAGAGATGGAATGAGGGACGATTCCTATCTCCTGCCCCACTCCTGTGATCTCTGCCTTTCTGGGCCTGAGCTTCAGTAGCCATGTTCCAGTTCCTGGGTCCCATGAGGCCTCCAAGACTTTGGGGGAACTAGGGGGCTTGTCTGAGAGCCTTATGGCTTTTTGGTGCTTCTGGACCAGTCCAGGCCTCACAGCAATCAGAGGTTTGATGTGGATTTCTGGGAGCAGCCTGCACTCATTGCCTGCCCTGGAAAGCTCTGTGGTGTCTGGGGGTCTAGTCTTGCTCTGCCTTCCAAAGTCATACATACAATCCAATGGCATGGACCACCTCTCCTCTGAGCCCAGGGCCCAGCTCGTCTGGATGTGGAAGGATGGGAAGTTCCTCCTTTAGAGGATCCTGAGGTGTGGGGGTGTGGGCAGGGTAGTGAGGGGCTTCTTGGTCTACAAATTCAGCAATGACCTGTGCTTCGATTTCCATGTGACCACGAGGCCAAACTGTGGGGTTTTCTCTAATGGAGTTCTGAGTATGGAGAGAGGATGGGAGTCTAGTCCCTTCCCTCCTGCACACTTGGGTCAATGCTCCCTTCTGCCCTCCCCCATTTCTCGTCTCCGAGGGCTCTCTTTCAGAGAAGGCCGCGAAGGAGGATCTTGGGACATCTTGTCTGAGAGCCCAGAGACTTAAGCAATGCTGAGAATTCCGGAGACTGAAAGGCGGAGGAAAGGTCTTTCGGTTTTCAGATCTGGATGTGAATCTCAGATTCACCCCGTCTGGCTGTGGGACCTTGGGCAAGCCTTGCAGCACTCTAAGCCTCAGTTTCCTTGGGTGTAAATGGCTCCTTCTGTGCAGCCAGTTTTGGAGGGAAACGATTCAAGAGGGAGGCAGTAGGTAGCAGCAATTCCCCAGGCGAGCCAAGCAGGCCCAGCCCGCGGAGCTGGGACAAAGGCAAGCCCAAGGGCGGGTCAAAAGGGCGCCTGGGTCAGTTTTTACTGCGAGGATGCCACGCAGCGGCGTGGGTGACTGCGCCTGGGCGCACACCTCGCATCTCGGGATCATTCGGGTCGGGATGGGCGGGCACAACCTGCACCGGGGAGGGCGTGGGAGCGGGAAGGGGCGGGCCCTCGGCGGGGCTGGGAGGAGCGCGGCGCTGCGTGGGGAGCGCGGCAGTCGGGAGGGGAGGTAGGCCGGGGCGCGCGGCGGGGCGCGGGAGTCCGTGCGGGGGGCAGGGCGCCGCGAGCGGTAGTGCGCGGCTCGCGGAACGCAGGCAGCGCCGAGGGCAGCCGGGGAGCGCCGGGGCTTCGGCGGCTACGGCCGAGGGCGGGACAGGAAGGCACGGCGGCGCCGCAGCTTCGCCCGGCGCGCGGAGGAGCTTCTGCCCGCGGTCCCTCCTGGGGGCTCACCCCGCCCCAGGCGGGTGCAGAGGATACGTGTTAGCACGTTCCTGCCGTTGTCGTCTCACCCCATGTCACAGCCCCTCTTCCAGGCCTGGGACCCCCGGCCCCATTATCCCCAGGCCCAACCCCGAGCGCTGACCTGGCCAGGTCCCTCTCCTCCTCCGGCCGGTCTGCCCGGACAGCGAGGGCCACGGCCCGGACCCCCGCAGAAGACACTCGTCAGCACGTTGTCACCCCTGTCATCTCGTCCCTCTGCCTAGCTCCACCCCAGGCCTGGGAACCCGGCCCCCTTTGGCCCATTGTCCCAGGGCCCAGTCCGGCCGACCGCAGGTTTGGCCCTCGCCCCTGACCGGCGCGTGTCCCCTGGCAACGCACGGAGACCCGGGATGCAGCCCGCAGGCAGGGCTGCCGTCAGGGAGGCGGCGGGCCGCGATGTGCTGGCCGCCGACCTCCGGTGCAGCCTTTTCGCCTCGGCCCTGCAGAGCTACAAGCGCGACTCCGTGCTGCGGCCCTTCCCCGCGTCCTATGCCCGCCACGACTGCAAGGACTTTGAGGCCCTGGTGAGTGCGCTTTTACCCGGAGCTGTCCACTGTGTCCTGGGACACGTGGCCTCTGGAACCCGTGTTAGTAAATATGCCAGCCCCTAGACTTTCCATTCCCAGCCTGGCCTTAGGGACGGTTCCATGAACTAAGAACACTCCTGACAGCCTAATGTTGACACTCCAAAGGCACTTGGTGGCTGCTTCCTCTTGTTAATGACAAGTGACTCCCAGGACTGAAGTGAGGAATTCAGTAGTTGCATAGGCCACCACAAAATTTCCTAGTGTGACCAGCAATAGGGTGTTGATCTAAATCAGCTGATTCTGCTAAATAGGAAGTTATCCATCCCTTTGCAAATAGTTAGACATCGAAAGTCAGAGCTACCCACAGCTCAATCTTCAGATGAAGAAACATATGGCAGTACTTTTATAAATTGTAACATGCAGTACACATGTGAGCTGTTATTTCTCTGATGATTCACAAGGCGCTTAATTTCTTGCAGAGTTTACCTCAGGGTCAGCATTCCAGTCAGATATCAATTATCATTTTACGTAATCCAAGGGTTTGGAGTTACTTAGAAAAATATAATTTACCAAAGTTGATTTTGTAAGAAATAGAAAAGTGAAATAGCCTGTAATCATTGAAGACATTGCATTAGTAGTCAAAGATTTTCCCTCAAAGAAAACTCTGGACCTAGCTGGTTCCATTGTTGAGTTCTGCCAATCACTGAGGGAATAAGTAATTTCAGTTTTGCACAAATTCTTCCAGAATATTGAAAAAGAGGCTAGTATAACTTTGGTACTAAATCTGATAAGGATGATACAAGAAAAGAAAATTATAGGCCAATGTCACTCATGAGTATAAACGTAGAAATCCTCTATAAAATATTAGGATCCTGAATCTAGCAATGTATAAAAAGAATAATTCCTCATTAACAGATTGGGTTTATCCCAGGATGCAAAATTAGTTCAACATTAGAAAATCAATTAATGTTATGAACCACATTAACAGATTAAAGGCGATATTTAGAATCAAGAGATGTTTAGAGTGATCTCCGATGAGGTGGTCAGTGTTGGGTTCCCTCTTTGCTGTCATTCCCAGGAGGTAAAAGTACAAAGGCCCAGCCTCCTGGCCCCCACCTGGTCTACTGCAGCCCAGGTTAGGGATGTGTTGAGGGCACCTCAGGCCTTGACCACCAAGCACAGGCATTTCGAAGAAAGAGGCCAGCCAACTGACTTCCCCCATGGTTTATTCTGCAAATTCAGATATTCAGTTTTGTGGGTTTGTAATCAGAGCCTTGGGGATGAAACTTCCTTCAGTTTTGTCAACAGATATTTATGGAGCTCCTGCTCCTGTGGTCTAGATGCTGAGGATACAGAATTACAGACCCAAGGAGGGGTTAACAGTGTGCTCAGCTATACCATGGGGTAAGACCTATACATACAACATGGAAGCCCAGAGCAGGGACCCCAGCCCTTGGCAGTGGGCTGAGGTCAGGGAGCACTAACCAGGGGCAGTGGCTGATGCCATGCTAAGTCCCTAGGGACATGGAGGATTTTGAGGAGCAGAGAGAAGGAAAGTGGTATTCTGGGAGTAGCAGGATGGGCAGAAAGCCAGGAGCTCACCAAGAATGACAAGTCTGTACTTGAGTGTGGCTGTCATGGGGAGCAGGAAGAGATGAGGCCAACTGGAGCTTGCAGGATTGGGCATGTCCTGCCAAGATGTGTAGATTTTATGCTTGGGCAGGGGAAGGCATTGGTGAGATCTAGGATGCATTTCTGAAAGACCCCAGTGGTGGTAGAGTGAGAGAGGGATCTGTTTAGGAGGAATAGACAGGAGTAGAGATTGAGGCCAGAGGGACTAAACTCACCAGAGATGGTGCCCCACAATGCACTTTATTAATTTTTGCCAAGAAACATCCAAGTGGACTAGAATGCTCGATGAATTTGCTTCCTGCTGGAAGGTCTTTTTGGCAAACAGAATCAGGTTTGTTTGATGAATATGGGATAAATGCAAAGGGAGTTTGGAATTGTTTTGATTTGTTCATGCTTTTTTTTTTGATGAGGAAGATTGTCCCTGAGCTAACATCTGTTGCAAATCTTCCTCGATTTTTGTATGTGGGACACCGCCACAGCATGGGTTGATGAGGGTTGTGTAGGTCTGCACCCGGGATCCGAACCTGTGAACCCCGGGCCTGAAGCAGAGCATGTGCACTTAACCACTACACCACCGGGCCGGCCCCTGTTCATGCTTTTTTAAAATTTATTTTTAATTATGCAAATAATGTTTGAATATATTCTTATTATAAAAAATTGAAATGATACCAGTAAAGTAAAAGTGCCCCTGATAGAACTCACCCTGTCCCACATCCCTCCCCTTGGGTATCAGTGCTCTCAGTTTGGGGCACACCTTTCCTCCCATACCTGTAATCCCTTGGGAGAGCATCGGCACTTTGGATAGCCCCAAATAGCCACCTCCTCTATAGGGACAGACTGTCCTTTGCATTAGGGCTCATCGTGCCAGTCCTAGACAGTGCACACTTTCTCTCAAGGGCTGCTGGAGAAACACGGACAGGTTCTTACCATCCCATTCTGTAGCCATATTCTTTTTTTTTGTGAGGAAGATCAGCCCTGAGCTAACATCCATGCTAATCCTCCTCTTTTTGCTGAGGAAGACTGGCTCTGAGCCAACATCTATTGCCAATCCTCCTCCTTTCCCCTCACCACCCCCAAAGCCCCAGTAGATAGTTGTATGTCATAGTTGCCCATCCTTCTAGTTGCTGTGTGTGGGATGCGGCCTCAGCATGGCCAGAGAAGCAGTGCGTTGGTGCGCGTTGGTGCGCGCCGGGGATCCGAACCCGGGCCGCCAGTAGTGGAGCGCACGCACTTAACCGCTAAGCCACGGGGCCGGCCCTGTAGCCATATTCTTTATTGGGCGCCATTGTTAGGAAAACTAGCCCAGGCCACACCGATTCTTGGCTGTCTGTAGGCATGGCTTTAATGGGCAGCCTTCCAGGAGAAGGCGCTCACCAGCAGGGCCTGGCATGACCTCTGGAGGCATGCACACGTTCTTTAGAGAAACACACGTTAGGTTTTGTTTTGCTACATGTCACATGAATTACAGAAAAGATGCAGAGAACTTGGCATCTGGACCTGTACCTGACTCAAAGGTTAACTTTTAAAAGGGAATCAGGTCTGAACTTGCCCTTCTTCATCATTTTGTGGTTACCTGATGAAGGAAGGTATGGAGCTGTTAAAAAGTTTCTCATTTCATTTGTTTAGCTAAAAGCACTTGGAAGTAGTTGTGAAACATTGTATCATTTTCAGCCATTTTTAATTAATTTTCTCCACACTATGAGATGTCATCACACACCTGTAACACAGGTGTTGCAGTTTCCAAAAATCAAAGTCCCAAATCATCTCCCAGGTGCCTTGTTTTGAGGGCATTTCTATTCTGAGTCAGCTCTTCGATTTTACACTGGCAGTTCTGGGTATTCTCAGTGCCTCCCTGGAAGGTGCTTATCAGATGTTTGAGGAATCAATTGGGTATGTGCTGATTGCCCAGGCTGAGATGAGAGTTTCTGACCTTGTTCCTTGGGACAAGGGTTGGCTAAGCTCTTATCAGGTCAGAGAATCTGTAGCATTCTTGGCCCTATAACCCTGACCATTGGCCCCCAAACTTCAGGTTGAGCTATCCCGTGCACAGTTCACATTCCTGAGTCTTTTTGACACAGAATCTTCTCACTGGCGTCACAGCTATAAAATTTTTTGTTTTGTTTTCCCCCTAGAAAACACCATGCCTTGGTTCTCCATTAGCCTGCAGACCCTTTCTGGGTGTGGGAGGTGGGTGGGCATGGCTCCTTTGTATTGATTCAACCCCTTGCCACCCAGTGTACTTGAGGGCCAGCAGCATCAGCATCACCTTGGAGCTTGTTAGACCTGCAGAATTTCGGGCCCCATCCCAGACCTACCCAATCAAGATTTGCGTTTTAACAAGATCTCTGGGCGTTTGTGAGAAGCACTGCATTTAGCCTATGCTGTGCCCATCCACTGTTTTGGGGGCCGAACTGCTGTAATTGATTCTCCTGGTTTTGGTCTCTGTCTTGTACTGTCTAGACAAGCTGATTCCTCAATGTCTGGGTTAAAACGTGAATAAGCTTCTCTCTGTCCTGACTGCAGGGTGTGCCTGCCCTCTCCATGCCATCCCCCTCTTTGTCCAGGCAAACGCTCCTTCATCCTTTAAGACACAGCTGGAACCTCATCTTATTCTGTGCCCCCACTCCCAGCAGTTAGGAGTCCTTCCTCTGGCTTCCTTCACAATTTTAACAAATTTGCTCTTATAGATAATGCTCTGATAAACATCCTTCTCCATTAATCAGTGTTCATATCTCTAGTTATTTTCTTGAGATAAATTCCAAAAGGTGAAATTGCAGGCTCAGAGGCTAACAAAGCTTTCTAAGGAAGGCTTTTGGTGTGTATTTCCAGATTGGAAATTGAATATTGACAGTTCCTGGGGGAGAGCAGAGATCATTCTTTACAAGGCTCTCAACCTTGGCTTGCACTGGAATTACCAGGGAAGCTTTAAAAAATATTGATGTCACTGGGCCGGCCCCGTGGCCTAGTGGTTAAGTTCTGTGCGCTCTGCCTCACTGGCCTGGGTTTGGTGCTACTCCACTCGTCAGCGGCCATGCTGTGGTGGCGACCCACATACAAAATAGAGGGAGATTGGCACAGATGTTAGCTCAGGGCGAATCTTCCTCAAGCAAAAAGAGGAAGATTGGCAACGGATGTTAGCTTAGGGCGAATCTTCCTCAGCAAAAAAAAAAGTATTAAAAAAATTTGGCATGTTAGAAAAAAAAATTGATGTCTGGGCCCCACCCGTAGAGATTTTTATTTAATCTGTCTGAGGTGGAGCCTGGGCATTGAGATTTTTTGTTCATTTGCAGAGAATATGTAGTTTTAAAATTTTCCTATTAATTGATCATTTTCATGGGCACCCATCTATGGGTGGTGAGGAAATG